ATAAAAAAAGAATATAAAGAAGATACCTATTTCCAAAGAATTTTAAAAGCGCTGGAAGACCCTCAGTGCGAAGAAGCAAAAAGATTAGGAAAGCAGGTAAGTAGATTCGAAATAAAAGAAAATAGATTATTATTTTCAGAGAAGGAACAGAAAAGCCGAGATTATGCATAGCAAAAGAATCCAAAGAACGAAGACCGTTATTAAAAGAAAGCCACGACTTGAATGGGCACTTCAGATTCGAGAAAACCTACAAAAGATTAAGAAGAAATTACTATTGGAAAGGAATGAGCAAAGATGTAAAGAAATATGTAAGACAATGCAATAGCTGCCAAAGAAACAAAAGTGTGACACAAGCCCCAGCAGGATTGCTACAACCGCTAGAAATTCTGTCGCAATCTTGAAAAATTGTGTTGATGAATTTTATAACACACCTACCACGAACAAGAAATGGGAATGATTCAATAATAATAGTGGTAGATAAATTAAGCAAGAAAGTACATTTCATATTTACCAGAAGTTCCGCAACAGCAGCAAAAGTGCCCAAATTTTCTTCAAAGAAATCTTTAAATACTACGGATTACCACGTTTTATAGTTTCTGATAGAGACCCAAAATTTACAAGTAAATTTTGGAAGTGCCTTTTCAAAATAATGGGAACAGAGTTAAAAATATCGATATCAGCACATCTACAAACTGATGGACAAACAGAACGTACAAACAGAATCCCCGAAGAAGTCTTGCGTGCCTATGTAAACTACAAGCAAGACAATTAGAAAGAAATTTTGTCTGCCGCAGAAGTTTCTTACAATAATTCATTACAAGGATCCATGGGTTATACACCATTCCAATTAGATAACGGACACCATCTGAGGACACCATTAAGCCTAACAAATGAAAATGTTAACCCAACAAATATTAAAGCAGCACAAGAACTGTTCGAGCATTGGACCTAGATAATAAATATAGCAAAAGATTCATTAGTAAACACTCAAGAGAAACAAGGTGATCAAGCCAACAAAAAGCGACGTTATCTAGAATTAAATGAAGGAGATTTATTATTATTGAATTTGACAAATATAATTTCACAAAAAAGTACAAAAAGAGCATCAAAGAAACTTATTGCAAAACTCATAGGAACCTTCAAAATCGTTCAGAAAATTTCAGCAATAACATATTGATTAAAACTTCCAGAAACACTATGTATTCACCCAGTTTTCTACGTATTCTTATTAAAACCTTACTACCCTAGTGAGTTTAAAGATGAAGTAAGAAAAGAACCCCCAGAAATTGCAACCGAAGATCCAGAAGAACACAAAGTCGAAGCCATACTAGACAAGAGAATATACTACTGTCACCTACAGTACTTAGTAAAATGGAAAGGTCACTCGCTATACGATGCTACTTGGGAACTCTTAACTAATCTTGAAAATTACAAAGACTTGGTAAAAGAGTTCAAAAAAACCGGTGAAACTGTTTTAAATAGGGGAGAGTGTAAGGAAACGTCGCACAATACACGTGTCATATAACGAACATGTCGGAGATTCACAGAATGATCGTATATCATGTGAAACGTGATGTAAGGTCGGAATCACATTAGCATGATCGAACATTGAGTAATTAGGAATCGTAATAACTGTGCGTTCGATTCAAAGTCATAATTAAGTAATTGTATTGAGTCATAATTAAGTAATTGTATTGCAATATACGATATAAATATGTAAAAGAGAGAGAAAGCTAATTAGGCTTTCGCTGGTATTCTTCATAATAAAGAAAAATAAACCCAAGTTGCTTAGTTTTCACATAACAATCGTCCTGACCTATCTACCCTTAATAGATATGGTTACATGTTATCTGTTATCTGTTATTCACCATACGTGTTAAACATTAAAATAATAGATGGTAATTATAGAATTTTAATTATATAAGAATAAACATTATATTTTATTGTCAACAAAATAGAATTAACTAATAATTATTTCTTCTCTATTCTTTTATCTGTTATC